TTTGAAGTTGATCCATATTTCACTGGTGCTCTGTTTATTTTTTTCTTTTATTCTTTGAGTCATAGTCTTTATTTCCTTTTTCAAAGTTTCATTTTAAATTATTTCTGTTGCTATATTTTCAAGTTCACTAATCATATTTTCTGCCATGTCTAATATGCTGTTAATCCCTCCAATGTTATTAATTTTTTAATCTCAGATCTTGTTTTTCACTTTAGAAGTTAGGTTTAGGGCTATTTTACATTTCCTTTTCTCGACCTAACATGCTCATTCTTTCTTGTAGATTTTTGAATACATGGAACACAGTTGTTAAATGATCTTAATGTCATTTTCTATTAATTTTAATATCTTTTTCACTTTTAAGTTGGTTTTGATTGATGTTTGTTCAGAGAAAAATTAGTAAATAAATATAGTTATATTTTAAAAATAAGGTTAGCTAAACAAATCCAGGCTTCATATTAATCAATGGATTGCTTTTAACTTTTTATTCTGAAAAATTTTATGGATAGTAGAGATGTTAGTTGTAGATGTATGTAATGCTTCAGATAATTGTGCCATAATACAGCAGTGGCAAAGTTATGTTCTTAAAGGAGAAATCACTATGTAAAGTAACTGAAAAAAATGTTCATTTAGTTTTTTTAAAACATCTTTTAAAGTAATGTTAGTTTTTTCTATTGACTGTTTAAACTGTGAAGTTTTGGGTTCATTACTTCTTTGATCTTTTAAATAAGATTTGAAAAAAGTGTACACAAATGTAACATTTGTACTGATATAAAACTCATTTATTTTTAATTCTTTGGATAAATAGAAACATTTAAATCTTTTGTGTGGTTAATAATTTATGCAAAGTACATTTATTTTATTTCCTACCTTTTGTTACATGTCATTATTTTTCAGTCTACTAGTTTTGGTGGCATTTTATTCTGTTAAGATTTACAAATGGGTTGTTAAGCATTTGCTCTGAGTTTCCATGATAGCTTATAACTTAATTAGTTTCTATTCATCGGAAGTATGAGTTGAATTTCTTGATGGCATTAATTTAAATTTGTTCTAAAATGCAGTGATTCAATATTGAAAGCTTGTTCTTTTTTTCTTTTTAAAAGCACAATTCATGAAATTAAAGCAATTTTCATTAATAGAACCCATGTAATTTATAAATAGTTGAAGTGAGATGAAAGTTTCTAATGTTTTCTAATCCTTAAGATGAACTCTTACTTTGATCTGCTTAGTATTGGCCAGTTTCATCAGTTATTAGATTTCCCTCCTATTTCTTTTGAAAACTTCTGTTTTGAAGATTTTGGGCCTAATTCATACAATTTACTTTTCTGTACACATATGTAGATAATTTTGCAGTATCTATTGTGTGGATTCAGAGGACCTCTGTTCTATCTACCGATTCATTCTAATTCAATTATTTGATAATTACCAGAACTTTCATTTTGACTGTCCTTCCTTCCACTTTGGTGGGCATTAAGCAATGCATTATTTGAATATATATTTATGCTTCACAAATTTACTTTCTTCTTTGTCAAATAAACAAAGAGTCCATTTTCCCTCCTATCGAGAATCCTGACCCCATTTTCAGGCCTTCGCGTGAACATGGACTCTGGAATGAGAGAAGTATTACATGCGGGGTTATGGAACATTCCTAATGTTTTCAAGAATATTGTATGTGATGTTAATTATTGTCTTTATTTAATGTACCTGTCCTCAGAGACAAGTGAAAAAATCACATTTTAAAGTATAAAAAAATCAATTGGAATTCCTCTGGGACCAGGAACATATTAAATGGTTGCTGGAAATAGAAAGCATGTGTACGACTGAATGTAGAAGATAGGAGGCCCAGAGAATCTTTTTTCCAAACTTTGTGAGTGGAAACCTGGCCCACCCACAAAGCTATGAAGCTACCCACATGTTATATGTTTAAGCAATTTACTAGTTTATAGGAGTGAATTGCTACCTTTAAAAAAATATATACATTTGGGTGGGGGATAGGAAGAGATCCTTATCTTTATTTATGTATGCATGAAAATGGCATCCTAAATGGGAAAAATTGTTTTTACAGCAATTTACATGTAGCAAATAAGTGAACAGTGCAAAAAGAGATCAAAGAACTCAACCAAATGAAATGTTTTGCTCTATTTCAATGGATGTAAGCCTGTCCAGGCTGTAAGTTTGTTTTATTAAGGCAAAAACATTTACATTTCTCTTGAGTTATTATGATCATTTTGCAACCCTCTGCTGTAGTCATATAAACCAGCCCAGTTTTTAAAATTAAAATTGATTGTGTTCTTGTATCAACTGAAAGTTTTCCTGGAACTGATAAGTAGCTGCTATATTGTAGAGCTTCAAAATTAGTAGCACAATGAAAAGTATATGCTCAGGTTTCATGGGATTGGTAGTAGGAAGTACACCTGCTGGAAATTATCTTATGCTTTTCATGTCATTAGGCCTCCCCTTCTGGCAAAAGAGAACTGGGAGATGCATCCTACTTCTTCAACCTGATTATACATTTTATAAGTCAATATCCATATCTGTTTCTTTAAAATTTAATTATGTCAACTAGCACAATGTTCAGCATCTAGTAATTACTCAAGTATAGGATCTGCATTAATCTTCTATGTTCTATTACTACATGTCTTGAGTTTCCCTATAATTTAAGTACATACTTGGCTTGATGGGATAACATAGGCAGTTTGTAGATGTATAAATAGTTTGCCTGGAACTCACTTTCATGCACCATTTCCTTAATTGAATTCATGCACTGTCTGGTGAACAGCATTGGCCTACTGATTTTTTTAAAAGTGTTGTTACATTTTTTTCTTTCCAAGGAGCTAGTGTTTGTTGTTTCTTACCATCTATAGCTGGAGTGAAAGTATTCCAGTCCCTGTTTAGACATCTCATGATTTGGTGACAACTTTTAAAAACCATGGTACAATACCCTGTCCGGTGTGGCTCAGTTGGTTGGAGTGTTGTGCCATGCACTGAAGGGTTGTGGGTTTGATTCCCTGTCAGGGCACATGCCCAGGTTTCTAGCTCGGTCCCCAGTTGGGAGCATGCAAGAAGCAGCCAATGGATGTTTCCCTCTCATATTGATGATTTTTTGTTTTTTCTTTTTCTCTCTCCCTCTTTCTTCCTCTCTAACAATCAATAAAAATTCTTTTAAAAAGCTGACAAAAAACATGGTACCATGTCCTTCAGTTCAACCTATCTGTTTTTGCTATAGCACAAATCTTTATAAGAAAAATTAATTTATATGTGATTGATAAAGAAAGGAGTTAGGTCCATATAATGTGGAAGTGGCATCAGCTCATATGCAACTTTTCCTAGATAAGAACAGCCAGAAAAACAGCAATAGAATTAAAACTTGGGAGGAAACATAAAAAACCCTCAACTCAGTTGCTGCACTGAATGCAAAAAGCCTTTATACCATTCATTTTTGTTTGATTGATATATTAGTTTCTCAGAGAAATGTGGTAAAACATCCTTCTATGTTTATTGATTTGGAAATTATGTTTTCATAATTCAGTCATTTGTATGTCATTGCTAAAACATTATTCTCTGTGTTACAGAAAGAGCATGATAAGATGTTTTGTTGTATCATTTTTCTAAAACAGTGTATCTACATATATATGGCTACCAGAATGCCATAACGACGGAATGACCGGTCCCTATATCACCCACTACAGCCAACAAACAGGCTTGATCAGGGGGTGGGTCCAGCAAGCCAATCTCCTGTGGCCCCTCCCCCCACCCGGCCCTGCCCCTGATCAGCCTCTCCCACCCTGATCAGCCTTGGGTCTGTCCCCTCAGCCAGCTCTGCCCTAGATTGCCCAACCCCTACCCCACTGCTGACCTCCAATTGCCTCCCCTCCCACCCCATTGGGGGCAGGCGGGCCAGCCCACCACCCACAGCCAGCCCGGCCACCAATCGGCCCCACCCCACCCCAATTGGGGGCCGGGCTTGCCAGCCAGGCACCCGCAGCCCCTCCCCCAAGCTGGCCCAGCCCTGTTTGGGCTCTGATTGGGGCGGGCTGGCCGGTCAATCTCCTGCCGTCTCCTCCTCCTGACAGGCCAAGTCCCGATCCACCCTGATTGGGGCCAGGTCGGCTGGATCCCACTCATGCACAAATTCATGCACTGGGCCTCTAGTATGAGCAGAGACAAAGGGAAGGGATTAGTAGGAGAGAGTCAGGGTGGAGTATACTTTAAAATTTTTCTAGTCAATAAATGTACATAATTGAACAAATTGCAATCCTTGAAAGTTTTGATAATTTGGTAATGTGAAAGAATATACCTATTTCTGAATGTTCATTCTATATGTGCATTTGCATTTTAAATTATTTATTTTAAGGCTGCATGTCTTTTATATTCCATAAAAGAAAAATAGTACTAAAACCACAATAATTTAGAGAAATGATGAAAGATCACCCTGTTCTTAAATTTTAAATTAAAAATAATGTTTATAAAAGTTGTTTGAATAATTTCAAGAAAATGTTATTTTAACACTGCTAAAAATAATTCTGTATAAGTTTCCTTTAAATTTAAGAAATAGTTTATTATTTGTTAAATATCCAATTAATTACTTTGAATTAGATTCTTCTAAAGAACTTCATGTACTTAAGTAAGCATACTTGAATTTTATTGATATTGTTCATTTAACATATATTTATAAATATTTACCTCCTGCCTAGTTTCAAATTACAAATTATGATTTAAGTTGAGTGAATTGGTATGATCATATTTTTATACATTTTATAAACAATATTAGCAGTTTATGTTTTTCAGCATTTTATTCTCTATGAGTGTTTACTGCATCTGTATTTATAAAGGATGATTCATTAATCATATTATATATTTATGGCTTGGAATGCTTAACTACAAATTAACACAAATTGATAAAAATAATTATAATATTATAATTTTAGTTTCTTTAATGTTACATGTTCAAAGAAAAGTGAAGAAAAAGTATTCTAATTGTTAATTTTTATATTATTTTGCAGGTGCATTTTCTTGATTATAAATCAGTACATTTTGATCATAAAATGGAAAACCTAATGCAGATTAGGGAACTAGCAAAGGAAGTGAAAGAAAGTAATGTTTTATTATGTGGACTTCTCATATATTACCCACAGGTAGGTAAAATGTTGTTCTCTTCAGATTGTATGTCCTATAGACTACAGATTTGGTAGTGGGAACCTGACTTTGTTAAAAACAAAGAGATGTGTTAATAAGGAAAATATTGGCTGGAAAATTATTTATCTCAACTCGAGGGGAAAATCAAAAGAAGTGCTTTGATGAGGGGAAAAAACATGAAAACTAGCAAATGTCTTACACTAGGTGGCCCACATAGAATTGCCAGGTATGCAAATAAAAATACAGAATGCCCAGTTAAATTTGAATTTCAGATAATAAATAATTTTAAGTATATTCCAAATTTGGAACTTGAAATTTGCAATCCATATTTAACTGGACTTTTTATTTAATTGGTAACCCTAATGTCATAATTCTTAGCCATTTGCATGATTTGGAATCGCTTATTTATTTTATGTTAGGCTAAATATGTTGGTGAATGTGTTCTTAATCACTTGAAAACAGTGCTTGGCATTCAGATTACCAGAGGACATGTTATTTAATTACAGAAAACTCTTATCATCACTGTCTTTTAATAGCAGCAAGTTAGTTAAGCAAAAGGTAAAAGAAATTAGCATTATAAATTCTTTGTGCAGAGAAATGTTAAATAAATCAAACTTTTTGGAACCTATTAGAGAAGGTGATTTTTCCTTTTACATAGATACCTTTCATGGAATTTGAAGAATGCTCTAGAGTTTCTTAGAAGTACCACACAGCAGTCAAAGAAATGAAATAGTCAACTGCTTTTTTAATGGTTTGGAATAAAGATTATTTGGTACTGACTGCCCAGGAAATGACAGGTATTTAAAGTTATATGGCTGATGAATAACAGCTATTGTTGCTGAAATATTTAAGGTGCCTTTTTAGCCTGAAGGTAACATTTCTTTTGAAGCAAGTGAATTTTCATCAATATAAGGTTTATCTTTTAGCGAGTCCCTTAGTTTTCTTTAACTTTTGAGTTTGTTTCCTCTGCTTCTAAAATATAAAAGCATAACCTCCGGTTAGTCATCAAGAACAAGGCAAACTTTGCTTAGAATCATGGAATTGTAAACTGTTAGTGCTGTAGGGGCTATTGGAGTTAGGACAACCAAAGCCTAAAGGATACATAAACTTGTCCATGAACATATAACTGCCAGAGTTCAGGAATATTTTCTGTTGTCTTTGATTGTACTTTAGATTATTACAGTGGTAAAAATAAATCAGTTCCTTCTTTTGTGCCATGCAAGGATCATAGATGCACACCTGTGCCACACTATACCAACATAAAATAGAGTTCATTGAGGAAAATCTCAAAAGCTGAGAAATGGTAGAGTACACACAATCCCTGGGACTTTCTTCATTCTATGATTTAGGCTAAGCAAAAGGGACCATGCTGGCATTCCAGTGGTGAGTATGGTTGCCAGATAACTATAGCATTCCCAGTTGAATTTGAATTTCAGACAGTCTATAAATTTTAGTATAATTACTAGTGGACCAGTGCACAAATTCATGCATGGGTGGGGTCTTGTGGGCCCACTCCAATGGGTGCCATCGGGGCTGGGCTGGTGGGGGGGAGAGGACGCGGGAGGTTGGCCAGCTGGCCCCGCCTCTGATTGGGATTGGGGAGGCCAATCAGAGGTGAGGCCGGCTGGGGTGAGGGGCCACAGGAGGTCGGGGGGGGGGGTCGAGTGGGACCTGGATTGGGCCGGTTGGCCACTGCAGTGTGTATCATAGTGACCAGTTGTTCTGATTGTTCTGCTGTTCCAGTAGCTGGGCTTTTATATATATAGACTAGTGATCTGGTGCACGAAATTCATGCACATTAAAAGGGAATTAATTAGAGGAAATATTTTAATATTGCTATTTGCCCTTTCTCTATAATAGAAGTGTCAGAGATGAAAGAAAATTAGTAAAATGTATATGAAAATCTTCCTCTTATCAGAGTCTGGGGCACGCCACGGGAACCACAGTCAAGTCCCTGCCCACCCACGTGTGCCTCAAAATCGCGCGAGACCCAGACCCGGCTGGCCCCACCCCTGTCAAGCCCCACCTGGTGGGGGGTGTGGCCTTAGGTTGCCTGGCCTGGCGTCGGAGCGAGGGGCGTGGCCTGAGGTCCCCCAGCCTGGGCCTGGGGGTGCACCTTGAGATCCCCTGGCCTGGGCCAGGGGACGTGGCCTGAGGTCGACCGTCAAGCCCCACCAGGCGGGGTGCATGGCCTGAGGTCCCCCGGCATGGGCCAGGACAGGGGGCGTGCCTTAAGGTCTCCTGTCATGCCCCGTGGATGGGGGGCATGGCTTGAGGTCCCTTGTCAAGCCCTGTGGGGTGGGGGGCGTGGCCTCAGGTCCCAAGGCCCAGTGCTGGGGCATGTGGTGCAGCCTCAGGTCCCCTAGCCCAGTTCTGGGGCGGGGGCGTGGTCTGAGGTCCTCTGTCAAGCCCTACTAGGTGGGGGGCTCAGCCTCAGGTCCCCTGCCCTGGTCCACTGCCATACAGCCTCAGGTCCCTGCTGATTGCTCATTAAGGCTCGTTACTGGAACTCGGCCTCTGCTGTGGGTGCAGCCATCTTGTTATAGCATGATGGTCAATTTGCATATTTCCTCTTTATTAGATAGGCCTAGAGGCTTAGTGCATAAAATTTTTGCATGGGGGGGTCCCCTCAGCCCCGCCTCTCCCCCCTCCAATCCGGGACCCCTTGGGGGATGTCCTACTGCCGGTTTAGGCCCGATCCTAACTGCTCATCTGCCTGCCTGCCTGATTGCCCCTAACTGCCCCCACTGCTGGCTTGGTCACCCCCAACTGCACCCCCTGTTGACCAGGTTGCCCCCACCAGCCTGGTCACCTCTTACTGCCCCCCCCCCGCCAACCTGGTGGCCCCCAACTGGCCCTCTGCCAGCCTGGTCGCCCTTCACTGTCCCCCTCTGCCAGCCTTGTCACCTCTCACTGCCCCCCCTGCTGGCCTAGTCACCCCCAACTGCCTCCCCGGCTGGCCTGGTCGCCCCACGCAGCCTGCTGCTCAGTTATTTGGTTGCCCTCTCACTGGCCCCCCTGCCAGCCTGGTCACCCCATACAGCCTGCTGTTCAGTCATTTGGTTACCCCTCACTAACCCGCTGCCAGCCTGGTCGCCCCACGCAGCCTGCTGCTCGCTTGTTTGGTCGGCCCTCACTAACCCCCTGCTGGCCTGGTCACCCCACTCAGCCTGTTTGGTCATCTGTTCGGTTGTTTCAGTTGTGATGGTCGCTTAGGCTTTTATATATATAGAGATATCCAAATATTATATAGAATGTACTTGCACATTCTTTGTTGTTACTCAGCAATTTCAATATAACTGGACATCTTGTGTTTTTATTTGCTAAACCTAGTAACCCTTATAGAATTTATATTTGCAATAAAACTTCATTTTCCCACCCCTGGCATGTTCCCCACATTTGTGGAATGGAGTCAGGTGAGTGTATATGTGACTCTGTACCTGTAAAGGCTACCTGTTTGGAGAGGTGGCCTTGATGGAAAAGAGGAACTTTTGCTGTCTATTGCTTGGTATCTGCTTCATTATTTTGATTAAAGTTGGATCTGCTAAGCCAGCTCTCTGCTCCGCTTCCAAAAGTGTGAAGAAGATGGTCCTGCAAGGACTTCAAGATATGCCTCTCTCTTTTCTGTTTTTTTGCCACTTGAGGAGCCATGAGCAGCAAAGTCTCCCAGGACACTCTGTAGGAGGCAATGCGCGGAGTTCTGCATGGGAACCAGTGCAAGCATGAGAAGTTTTTGGAGACAGTGGAGCTGCAGATCAGCTTGAAGTAACATGACCCTCAGAAGGACAAATGCTTCTCGGGCACTGTCAGGCTTAAATCCACTCCCGCCTCAAGTTCTCCATATGTGTTCTTGGGACCAGTAGCACTGTGATGAGGCCAAGGCTGTGAATAACCTCCCATGGGCATCCAGGTGCTGAAGAAACTCAACAAGAATAAGAAACTGGTCAAGAAGCTGGCCAAGAAGTATGATGCCTTTTTGGCTTCAGAGTCTCTCATCAAGCAGATCCCAGTAATCCCAGGCCCTGGCCTGAATAAGGCTGGCAAGTTCCCTTCCTGTTGACCCCCAGTGAGAACATGGTAGCCAAAGTCCATGAAGTGAAATCTATGATCAAATTTCAGATAAAGAGGTTGCTTTGTCTGCCAGTGGCTGTTGGCCATGTGAAGAAGACGGATGATGAGCTTGTGTACAACATCCTCATAGCTGTCAATTTCCTGGTGTCTTTCCTAAAAAAGAACTGGCAGAAAGTCTGGCCTTTATACATCAAGAGCACCATGGCAAGCCCCTTGCCTGTACTAAGGCACAGCTGAATAAACCATATTGCTATCACTTAAAAAAAGATATATGCCTCTCATAATTTTAGGAAGCAAAGCTAGCAGACTTAGGTGCAGCTTATCTCTTCTTAAAAGAACAATAATGAAGGCGTGTTCAGATATGTGAGAATGTTTAATACAAGTTTGTCCTCAAAGATCCAGGTGTGAGTTAACTCTTATTAGTCCAACACGTTATCCTGTGCCTAATTCCACCTTAAATAGTATTTGCCAAAGATCCACTGATGTTCAGTAGATATGCCAGTGATGGCGAACCTATGACACGCGTGTCAGAGGTGACAGGCGAACTCATTTTTTTGGTTGATTTTTCTTTGTTAAATGGCATTTAAATATATAAAATAAATATCAAAAATATAAATCTTTGTTTTACTATGGTTGCAAATATAAAAAAGTTTCTATATGTGACACGGCACCAGAGTTAAGTTAGGGTTTTTCAAAATGCTGACACGCGAAGCTCAAAAGGTTCGCCATCACTGAGCTATGCCATTTAAAAAGGGGCTATGATTAAAAAATGAGAAGCATCAAGGAATAGAATTAAACAGACTTCTTTAATGAAAGCTTTCTCACAAATCCATTACATACAAATCAGTGATTGATCTATTCAAATTGGGGACAAGGGGTGTGCCATTTTCCATGTTCTCCTGTAACCCTTTAACTGTAGATAATTCAT